CCCGAGCCGGCACTGGGTGGCAGATTCTCACGCTTCAGATGCTGACATGGCGAAAATCTATACTTCGTGATGTTGTTTTTATATTATTTTTGCTTTGGAGTTATGTTTGATATTTAACATAAATAACTTTACACATATATTCATTAACTCAACACTCATGTTGTAATAGTATCATATATACATACAATTTAATTTTATCAAAATAATTTTTATTCTTTTACAATTTATATAATATAATTAAGATGCCTTTTTCTTATTACTAGTATGTACCCCGTGCGATGCACGGGACATAAATATTAAATGGGTTATTTTTACATGCTTTGTCCGTTTAAGTACATAAAGCAATAGGATTATCATCTATTTTTCATCTCTTTTAATCAACGTTAAGTATAATTAACAAAAAGGTTATAATATATTTTGCACATCTTTTAATCAACGTTATTTTTTTAGTCAAAATCTTAAAATAATTAATATATTATTTCACTAACATATTTATCCTAATTTAAAATTATTTTTAGTATATATATTTTTCCTTGATATAAGAGAGAATAACAATTTTACTTATTCTTGTCACCATATAATACTTAATTATTATTTTATTATACACTTTATGTCATATAATATCATTATTATTTATAAAGTTATAGAAGTTGTACGTCTTCTTTTTATTTTTATTTTATGTAATGAAAAATATTTGATGCACGTTGGTATTATTTATTTATGTAATCAATTTAAAATATGTAAATAAATTTATTAAATAGTGTATAAATATTTTACAAAATATACACATGTGTTTTTTAGAATTTAATTTCGTATACTAATTAAACAAATTTGATTTAGAAAATGTCAAAAACTCGATCCCCTCTATGATCAAGATTTTTCTAATTCGCATTATAAGGATTTATGGTTTATTTAGCATACTCTGCAATGAAAATATATTTTACAAGAATTTATTATATAGATAAATCAAAATAAAAAATGAAAAAATATAATCATGGGTGCCAATAATATACAAATAAATTCTAAACAATAGTTAATATGTTTCAATTTTAATTTTTTACCATTAGTATAACTATTTATTGTATTTGGTCATTATCTCTTAAATGGTAAATTATATTAATTTGAAAAACGATTTATTTTTTATATTTAACAAAATAAAGCTTAAGAAACAAATATATTGGCAAAGATTAATTCACCAACTTGATATTGTTTGATTCGTTGGGAAAAAAATTCTACCTAACTTATTACGATTTTCTATAAATATTTTTGGATAAAAAGTGCATATTTGTGATAAAAAACTAATATTATGGTTAGAACTTAAAATATGGTGTAATATTATCTTGACTAAAATATTATCAACATGGATCACAGAAATCCATCTTGTAATTTATTATAATGAATATCAATGAAAGTATTACAAATATTAATAAAATAATATTTATCTTGACCAAAATTTTATCAACATGAATCACGAAAAACGATCTGTAATTTATTATAATAAATATCAATAAAAATACTGCAGATATTAATAAATTTATTTAAGTAATTATTTGATTATATGTTATTTAATTTTATTTGAAAATGTGTAAATAGAAGCAATTAATGCATATATTTAAAAAAAATCCAAAAATAGTATGCATTAAATATATCCTAATTTTTTGCTACTATTTTTAATAAGTAGTAATTGAGATGATCATTAATGTTTATTGAGCCTATGTGACTTTGGAAAAAAAAATAAAAAAATGATCCATGTTGCATGTCATTATGATTATCATCGCAATTATTTTGCAAAGGAATAAATTTTTAGAACTTAATTTTCTTAAAGTAAAAAATATGTAGACCTTTTAAACTAAATACATGCAGACCGAAATTGTGTCATTTTTTTAACTTTAAATTAAATGCATGTGTACCAAAATTGGGTCTTTTTTTTAATTACCTTATACCATTGTATCTGTATAAAAGTAATAATGTCTTTAATTTATTTAGAAATGATGAAAATAATGCTACTATATAGACAATTTTTGGAAAAAAAAAAAAAACAACAAATAAGTATTGTCACTAATGTGACAACTATTTTGTGGTGAGGGTCGGCAACCAGAGTATTATTGCGATGGTCCGTGGAGATGATGGATGCGGTATCCACAGGGAGATTCTACTGGGGATACGAGAGCTGTTACGTCGGTCATGGCATGTGGATTTGCAACATAGTTATCGCGAAGCGAATTTGTGGCTGATTTTTTTTTTTTGCCTCTCTTGCGGCACAGAGGGATGACGGAGTTCAGCGATTGAACGATCCTCCCTCGGGTGCGCAGACTTGACTTGCTCATGATGTGGTAGGGGTGTCGTATCCCAGAAACGTACTGGTCTTGTCGTAACTAGGTTCTACCTCCTTTTCTTATACCAAAAAATAAAGAACTATTTTTTTCCATCGAGTATCACAAATGTTTTTTTTCTTAAGTATAAGTATTTAATTTTAAATTTTCTATTGAAAAATTATTGTATTTCGTAATCAGTCGGCTATATGTTGTTGTTTTTAGTCACAAATCTTCTAATGATTATTATTATTATTTATCAAGATAATAGCGATTATGAACCCTATTTATCTACTACTATGTTATATTTAGGGAAGCATTTTAAAAAGTAGTAAATAAAAGTTTCATTCTACATTTTATTATCACTATACATGTTTAATGAATAATTTTTTAATCAGTAACGTTATTTATAACACTGCTTCGTGTGTGATATAGGATATTATCTGTATAAAGACGAGCCGATTTGGTGAGCCGGTCGAGAAGAGCAGACCGGAAGCGAACCAAGCCGAAAGGCGGGAATCCACGTGATCGAGCGGCCTAAGGCTCGACCACACAAGCGATCGAACAACCCGAGGCTCGACTGCACAGGTGATCGAGCAGCCCGATGCTCGATCAGACTGGTCGAGCTACCCGTTAATCGATCAGACCAGTGATCGAGCAAGCTGAGTGATCGAGCAAGCTGATCAACATAGGCCCAGACGCGTGTATAGCAGACGCGCGTGAGGGTCTCTGACTGAGCTGCAGGAGAATATTTACCCCATGTGCCGGGTGGACACGTGTCGACAATGTATTGGGTGATAGCGATAACCACCTCTGACAACGCCCAAACGTCCCGCGGCACCTCTGACATGTGCGCGGCGTGTCAGAGTACGGACGGGCAGCTTGGGCAGCACACGTATCCTTATCCGGGCAGCTATTAGGGCAGGTATCTCACCCCTATAAAAAGGGGATGAGCCTTTCTTCCTTGACACGTTCTATTCATTCTCTAAATTCCAGTATACTCATACACATACTGACTTAAGCATCGGAGGCTCTTCACCGGATCCAACCCCCGGTGTGAGAGTTATTTGCAGGTTCCCGGCGTTCTACCGGCAAGGACAAGAATCGATCTACTCCAAACCGGACCCGGACGCTTACACTTGCATTAGTGTGTGTGACGTACTAGTCTCAACTCAAAATTTAACTCAATTTTAGTTCAACCACACTATCCTCAATCCTCCTATATACAATTCCTGAATGCGCTGCTAGTGACATACCTGCACGCTTCAGAATCCTATGTGTAATAACGAGTCCTGGAATATCCCTATATATACAAGATGTTTTTGATAGTTTTTAAGAACATTAATTGTGTTTTAGTATTATTTCCTAATGTAGACGTGATTTATAAGACATGATTTTTTTTCCAGTCTTTCTTTTTCCTTCGTTTTTATTTTATAGTTATAAAAATTTACCAACATAAATTATAAATATATTTAGAGTTTATAACTTTTTTGTTTGTTATCAATTTTTATATATATTATATCAAATCAATCATGACATATCCATTAGGAAAATATTTAATTTACTTTAACTACAAATTGGTTATATCATATAAGTCAAAAAATTATTATAATATAAGATGTGCAGTCGTATAAATGAAGAGTTTTATTTTAAATATAAAT